ATTATTATTATTATTATTATTATTATTATTATTATTATTATTATTATTATTATTATTATTGTATAAACACCACAATCCAATTAGCACCAGTCAGTAGAGGAAATTAGTTTTAGCTGTAAACAGACATCAATATTCATTACTGTGCAAACTGTAACAAAGGTTAACAAAAGGTTTACCTTTTCTTTCATTGCTGGCAAGAAGATAAAAGTTCTAAAGTGATTGCTCTAAGGAACTCTTCTCTTACTTTCCCTTTGCTTTTTATTCCCTTGCCTTGCAGCTCATAGAGAGATTAAATAGATGAAGACATAGGCTGAGGTGGATAAGCCTTCCCCAGCTGTCCTCTGACAGAAATGTTGACCAGGGCAACAGATTTATTTTTATGGTTAAAAAAAAAGGAGCAGGAAGTAATTATCTCCCAGACAGTGTGGCAACTGGGCAACCATCCAAAAAAGCTGTCCTTCATTTGATCATGTGCAGTGGATGCATAGAGGTAAATCAGTCATACAGTCATTAAGTGAAATCAATGAGTTTTATTCTAGTGAGTGTGTTTAAAATTGTATTAAACGTAATAAAGGTATTTTGCACATTTATTGTACATATTTATTTATGACTTAAAGAGAGGCATATCATAACATTTGGAATGTGAAGTAAAAATTTCTTAGAACAAGAGCACAGTTATTTCCCAGATATTAGGAAACACTTCTAATGTTGGTTCTATTAGGAACTGTACACTCTTTGAAAGTCTGTTAAATTTACACTGGAAATAAATGACCTTATTGTAATAGAAATAATATAAAAGTAAATTCTAATTTGACTTGGAGCTAGCATTAATAATATTCTGAATAATATCCTGAAAAAGAAAATATTGTTATATATTTGTACAATATATATTATAATATAGTAATATACTATTACTATACTTTTTGATAAAATATATTACACAATTTCCTATCCTATCTATCCAATCCTATCCTATCCTATACTAGTTTTACAATTTTCTGCATATTATTTTGTTGGTTTAATGATTCAGCCTTTAACTTGTTTTCAGGGCTTGGATATAGTTTTATTTCAGTTACACACGTCCAATATATACCGCCACATACAAAGCCTGCAACATTCTAATGAGTAGCAGATCTAAAATGAATCAATGAGGTTTACTTTTTGGTAACTTAATATAGCATTGCAGCAAAGTAAATTAACCGCTGATGTAAACTTAGTTTCACCCTCATATTTGTTGTTTAAGACAATTAACTCTGAAAATATTCTGATAAAATTGAAACGATATAAATTAGTCACCTTGAATTCAAAGGGAATTAAATATAAGTAAGTAATAGGATTTTCATTTTTATCATAATGTGATGCTTCTTGAAAGTAATACAAGTAGGAAAAAGGACTTCTGAAAGGACTACTCTTGCTGGTAGAGATAAATGATAAAGTTAAGAGTAATATACAAAGCAGTGAAGCAAGCATAAAGAAAGCTAACCTGCCTAAGAGAAGAAAATCCAAAATTAAATCTGGAAAAAGGCAATAGCAAACCACTTCATATTTTATCAAGAAAACATTATAGGCAATGTTAAAACATTGGGAAGAGTGCCAGGTGATGAGACTCCTAGTATGGGAAATACTTCTCTGGTTACTGAGGAAGAGTAAACTTCCATAGGTAAATGGAAGAAATGCAATAATGGAGAGGAAGTGTTAATAAATAAACACATGAAAAAATATGTATTGCTAACCTCTTTTTCAAGTAACATAAATACAGATTATACATAGTACATGGACATAACTGGGTGTACAATAGCAGAATCAAACAAACTATAATTAGAAAAAAAGATTGAAAAATGCAATCCAGTGCAATCCAGGTGGCCAAGCAGTTTCAGAAAGAAATTGAGGGAGATACTATAAATATTTGGGTTAAAGGTAAAAAGAACATGGAAAGAAAAATAGAAGTATTAAAAAAAATTCACAAGAATTCACAAGGAATCACAGGAAAATAATACCTAGGTAGCAATATTTAGAACTAATCACAAAAGAGATATATTTGAATCAAATAAGGTCGAAGGAATATGAAAACAATAATTATAATAATAGAATTATAATTCCATATAATTATAGAAAGCATTTTCAGAATATGTTCAAGAACCAGTCAGGTATGATAGAAAGTAAATCAGGCATCAGATAAGAAAACAGTGAAGCAAGTTAATACATATTTGCACTGATTAAAATTGCAGGAGAAGAAACAGTCACTATGCTAACAGTTCTCTGTTAATAAATATAAAACAAGATTTTATAGCCTAAAGGTTATAAAATATTGGTGAATATACCCATGCTGACATGGTTGATTAATTCCTGATGCAAGCAAAGTTCAATTTGAAATTTTACAAAGAAGATGTCTACACAGATTTTTACAAATAAATCAGATTATTTTCTTTGTCTCTGATGATTCTTCTGAGGAACTTTTACATTAAACAAGAAGTTGTTGCAGAAACCAAATTTGAAGAAAAATAATGAATAGGAAAAGGAAAGAGACAAGGATACATCTTGTTCCCATGCATGTCTAATAGATGTTTAGTGTTTTAAATAGTAAATGAATGGAAAGATTAGCCATTCTCCTGTTTTGATTCTAGATAAGAATTTAAGATGTGAGAACATTGTCAGCAGAGAGTGAGACAACTCTCACAATGAAAATATGCATTGTGAAAAATCTGGGTTAATGTTATTATTAATGGTAAAGGATTTGAAGTGATAATTTTGTTTCCTTGGGCTCAAGGATAGATAGACAAGGTCAGCGTGCTGTAGAATAAAAAGCAGATTAATCCTAATGAGGAAGGCACTGATAGTGTCATGAAAGGATAGTTCTATGACAACAAAAATCAGAACAATTACAATTATAATCTTTCCAGTGGCAATATATGGCTGTGAAAACTGCTTTTGAAAAAGAAAGAGAAAGAAGATAATTGCCATCAAATTATAGATCTGAAAATTATTACTAAGAAAATCATGGATTTTAAGAAGAACTCATCGATCCTTGCTATCCCAAAATGAATTAGGAATACCATTTTATGTTTGGAGATGGATTTAGATTTGGTGGAGCTTGGCTTTTATTTGTCAAATTTTGACTAAAAATAATTTTCTTCCCTATAAGTCTAGCCCCTTTAGCCTTCAGGGACTGCTTTAAATCAGTGTGGCTTAAGAAAGCTACTGATAAAATCCATTTATTGAATTTTTCAATGGAAAGCCTCCTTAGGCTTTGAAAATGCCAGACATGTTGTCAAGCCATAGATATTGTTATTACAAGTAATCTACAGTTAAATTCACAGTCTAAGCCTGGTGATAACTTAATAATTCAACTTCTAAGGACTAAGAAGTTTAAAGATAGTGCCTAAATATATAGGCAGTTCTAAGCAAGGTGAGTTTTTTGATGTTATTGTGAAACAACAAGGGTCCAATAAATAAAAAAAATTCCAAATACTGAGGGAGTCCTTTGGGTATTGCTCTGAGAGATCCAATCATGATTGGGATAAGTACAGATTTATTTTTTTTCAAAAGTATATAGTATTGTGGTTTGATGCAGTCAGCCAGATATTCAGACTGTTATTATTATTATTTACATTTATTGGCCACCCAATTCCAGGGAACACAGATCTTCAATCTACAGTAATTCAGGGTTTCCCAAACTGTGAGGTGTACCTTCCATGGAGAGATTTGAACAGGATCTGGGGAGGTATGAAGAACCTTTTAGTTACATTGTTATAATAAACCTATATTTCCTATAATTTCCTGTATTATTTTCGTTTTTCGTTTATGTTTGTTTTGGTCTTTGGATTTTTAGGAGAGGTGTGTACATTAAAATAAAGAAAGATATGGTGACAAAAAGTTTAGGAACCCCTGATCTAGTCTAATGTCTAGTTCTAAAATTTGGGAAATATTTCCAAGTGGGATTCTACCATTACAATATCAAAATAACCAAACTAGATGCACTGCCAACGTTAGTCATCTTTGGATGGTCAAAGAATACTGAAGTGTATCACCACCTATACCCATGTAGAGATAGTTCATTATAGCCATATGTTCCTCTGTTGTTCCTCTAATAAGGACTCTAGGATGACTCTCAAACACTTCATCCTAAAGACATTTGGGGACAGAGAGCACAACTTGTATTTATTGGTTCTCTTAACTGAGAAGAACCTGTGTATCCTCCTAGGTTGCTCATTTCTACATGTACTAATCATTGTAACTGTAGTTGAAGATCCTGACTTATTTACTTTCTGATGCTTTATGTTATTTTATTCTATAATTATTGCACATTTATTCCCATACTTTTAAATTCTGTGGTTCATTCTTACTTCTTGTTATATATGTTATATCTATATAGACTTATCAATTGATATATATGTGTATTTATATTCACTTATTTTTAAGGCTTTAATTTATTTATTTCTGGCATTATGATTGTAATAAGGTTATTTGTTTTGAATCCTGGGCCCAGGAAAGTCTGATTCCTCCCTTGAGAAACAGCAAACAAAAACTCATATACTTTGGGAATGTGATATAAGTGGATGATGGACTAGAGCTACGTTCTCTATGTTTAGAAGTATGGGACAACTAGAGAAATGGGAAGACAACTAATAAAGTAGATAGAAGGAATCAAAGAAATTATACCATAGGTTTCTTGGGGAAGAATGTCGAGGTGTTGAACATTTGTTCATGCAGTTCTCAGGAATAAGATTGACTTACTGTTACCTAACTAACATGTTTATTATCTAACTGAATGTCTTCAATTTAAGTCTATTTTTTCTGATTTTGTTTGTTTGTTTGTTTGATGTGTAATTGGCTTGGAATTCAACTTCTGCTACATTTTTTCTGTCTAACTGACTTTAATTCTTCATATTTTATTTTCTGTAGTGATTCAGGAAGAACGATGAACATAAAAGCCATCTCTTCAATTGTGGTTCAATCACCATCTATGCTTGAATCCCAGAGTTATATTGAATAGTTCCATCTACATCCTTTTTGATGTTAAACTAGTACTTATGCACTATTACTAATAACAGTATTAGTTTGTTTTCCTGCTCTATGCAAAAGAATGAAATAATATTTCAGTCTTGCAACAGCTTAGTCCAGAAAGCTTTCTGCTCAGGAACTCATAAAACTCCTGTTCAATCAAGCTGCTTAAAATATTAAGTAATAAGTCTGGTGTAGTGGTTAAGGCATCAGGCTAGAAATCAGAAGAGTATGATTTCTAATCCCACCTGAGGTATAAAATCAACTGTGATCACGGGCCATTCAGTTTCCTTTAGCTGTGGGAAGCAGCCAGTGGTAAACCACTCCCAAAATGTTGCTAAGAAAAATGCAGGGACCTCTTCAACACTGACACAAATACACACACAATAATACTTAAGGACTTCAACAGGGAAGACAGTAAGCTGCTTAAGTGTCAGCCTCTAACATTATTTGTATTCATAAGAAGGTTTCCAAGTTCAAATAGCTCATACACAGTAGGTGTTTTAAAAAAAATCAAAATGACAAGGAGCTGCAACAAATACTCTGGAGCTGTATCCACCTGCCCAGAAAAAGAAAGGGCTAATTAAATAGGGAATTAAATAGAGTGCTCCAAATAAATAGAAGGGAATGTGCACTTGACTTTCAGCTATCTTGTACATAACTATCTTGACAGCCACTTTGATGAAAGAAGAGTGTAAAACCATTGCAATATTTTTTTAAAAAAGGTCTTATTTTATGTAATGGATGTTGAACTTCTGTCAGCCGGAGATCAGATTGAACTTCCACTACCACAGTGGAGTCTGCATTTTAAAATAAGTCAGATTAGGTCCAAAGAAAGTATTCTAGTGAAAAATGTTGAAATGATATAAAATGATAGATTTTACATCCCTTTGGATCTGCGCTATGAGACACAAAGACTTGATAATGTCCCTTTGGAAGAAGCAGGGTAACTTCTTTCCCCACTCTTCCTACTTACCTTTGTTTTCCTCTGATGACACTGTATAGATGCTCTTTCTACAATTGATAATGCAGCCACAAGGCAGGTGACTCCAGCGCTCTGACAAGACAAACATCGGAGTGACAGTGACAGCTAGCAAAGTTAGCAGGAAGCTGAATATCTCAAAGGAAAGATTGTGAAACCCAACAGTGTATTGAACAACCATTTGTATCTGAAAGAGAGAAATTAAGCAACAGACAGCTGGCTTGTACAGAAGTGATCACATATTATACTCCATCTCCTAAATACTTGCTGCATAGGTTTTCCCAGACTTGAATATTAGCATCTTAGAAAACAAAGATATAATCCAGAAATGTGTACAGGACTCTTCTAAACCTGCTCCTCACAAATAAATGCCACTGAGTTTGGTAGAGCTGACTTTTACTTAGCATTGAAATGTATATCTGACATATGTTGCAATCCTATAGAAGTAGTACAAGTGAGCCCATTCCTCCCAACAACCTCATTTACTTGGTGATAATCTTCTACAATCCACATAATATGGTGGACAAAACCAAAGCCAAAAGTAGCCAAACACAAAATTGCACACACTGTATCATCACATTCACCAAACATATTTATCAGCCCACTTATCTCTGTTCTGCTCATGGTAAAGCTAAGACCCAGATTTGGATTGCCCATGGTCCATTAGACATGACCTAATGTTCTTTGTCAGGCTCATCCAGTAGCTTATACAGATATTTGTCTGAGGATGTATTTACAGGGCCATTGCAAAATAATGCATGCAACAACAAACAATCTCTGCTGCCTATCAAAAGGCATCCCAAACCATTTGGTCTTTGAGATACAGCAGATAAACATTCCTGTTCTCCTGGAATTTGTCTCAACTGAGCTTCTGCATGTCTTTGAATCTTGACAGATGTCAAAAAGGAACTGTTCTAACACAAGTCCCATCTGTGTCTCTCAGAAATGCCAGTTGCTTCAAGTGAAACAATAAATATTGATGCCTGTTCTGTAGCAGAGAAGTAGCTTCAACCCTGAGCTATTAATAAAGGGCCATTTGAGTTATTGCAGGGAGGTGGAAAGGTACCCTTGAGAAGATCATGTTGATAGATGATTTGCACAGTGCTTTCATAATGCAGAGCTTCATAAATAAAGAATCTAGTCAGTGCCCCATGGATCTTACAATTTAAATCTCATCAGTAAGGGCAAAGGGAGGATTGCTAGAGGAGAAGGCTACAAGGGAAGAATGTGAGTGAATGCAGCTCTGACTACTGGAATGGCGAGTATACGTTGTTTCTGAAATAAATTCTTCAGTGTCTGGTAGGGCTTATTTCCAGGAAAGAGTACATAAGAATACACAAGTCTTAGACCAAATTGATGTAAAAAGTAAAGTCCATCAGTGAATGTAGGATTAGAAAAGGGCTCTGAAGATTTCAAATTATTGCTTCTATGTGCTGGCAAAAATGGGATTCACAAATGCAATAGGGCACTGAATGTGTGTAAGAGATACATGACAAAACACACACACGCACATGCACACACACACACACACAAACAGAATGCCCTATCTGCAATCTATTAGCACAAACTTCAAGGCAGCAATTCTTTCTTTTTTTAAAGGAAATAGAAACTAATGAAATTCTTCCAGTCATTTGTGAATACTTCTGAATTACATAGCTACAGGCAATTCACAACAAAACGGTGTGCCTTGAAGCTAATAAACAAAACAAGGAATTTTTGGCAGATGCTAAAACAGACAACCTAATACCAACAGAACTGCACGAAGCATAAGAGCTTGGCTTATTCTACCTAGTTTTTTTCCCCTTGGAATCATTCAACAAGATGTATTTGTAGAACACTTATGCTAGCATAAAACTAGAGCTATAAAGTAGTTGTCTGGAATCTTTCTTGTATCTGACTATTACAAATCATTTCCACATTTGGCAAAACAAATCTCAATCATCTGAAAAGTAATTAAAACCTTACTCATTCCCTTAAGAAGACACAAGTATATGTGCATTTTGAGTTCTTGGTCATTAAATAAACCAATGTACGTACATTCAGTTGAAACTACAACAATGTACCCAACTGTTTGAATAGATAAGGAATACTTTAAACAGCAGCCAAACTGAATAAAGAAATACAAAGCAAGTGACACAGTAACTCATTAAAAAATCTTGATTATCCAAGTTTTTAAACACAAGACACAAGTTTTCAAGTTGGACACAAGCTGTAGCTTAATTTACTCTGTTCTGCTGCGCCCCACTTCCAAATATCATTAGATATTGCTCAACTAAACCCTTAGAGATAAGGAAAAGAAACTTGGGCAAGTTTTTTTTTTTACCATCATTGGGAGCCAAAGAATGACTTTGGTCAGAGCAAGAATTAGCGAGAAGCGTTTCTGAGCAATTTCGACAGTGATGTTCCGGTTGTTAGGTGGCACATTTCGTGTGCTACAGTGGTCCAATTGACAACGGTCAGCTGGATTTTGTCTGGTAACTGGGTCAGAGTTTTGACAGTGCTTCTGGGTTTTATTCATAGTGCCTTCTGTAGGAAGAGAAGATGTGTGGCTCTCAAATGGAAGTATCCCAGAAGAAAAATGGCCTCCAGTGATTTGATGATAATCATCATAAAAGTGCTGTTGCTCATCTGAACACAGCAACTGATAAATAAGAGGAATGGAGAGTATAACTAAGAGACAGAAACACAATGAGTAGATTATAAAGAGGAACAAGATATACGAACTGGAACAGTCAGCAAAGCATCCCCAGGAGGTGGGAGCATAGGTGCCCCAGCCACATAAAGGCAAAATACAAATCAGCAGGCAGACAATCCAGATAGTAAGAACAGCCCATATCATGCTCACTGGCCTCTTGGTGGCCCCTTGGCTCTCTCCCATTTTATTGAGGCTGTATAAGTTATAGGAAACAACAAGGGACCCCATCAAGTTGCTGGAGAAGCCTTGAAATAAGTATAGTAGCGCTGAAGTGGTACACACAGTCTGGGGAAGCATCTCATTCAACCAAGGCTTGAGCATAAAAATTGTTGCTGGTACCACACTAATCAGATCATCCACACTTAGAGAAGTTGCAAGCATTGAAACTGTACTTTTGTTCTGCATTCTCAGCAGGGAAACTAATGAATAGATGCTACCCAGCAGGGTTAAGAATGTGATGACAAAAGTCAAGCAAAAAATAAAAAGATTCAAAGATTTTTGGTCTTTGGGTATATTCATTATTCCCTGGTTTGGGGAGCTTGTCCCATTTAATGAAACATTATTATAGGTGTCTGACATTGTTACCAGGATGGTTGAGATAGCTGGGGTTGATGTTACTTTACCTTCTCACAGATTCTTTGAGTTCTCGTCCGATGAAAACATTGTTAGCTCCACAGTAGATTCCTCATCTTCTCTACCAAGTTTATTCTTGGACTGTAGAGATTTCCCACCTTTTCGGAATGCTTGCTTAGGATACTCCCAAGTAATGCCCAGCTCACATTGTTAAAAGAAGCAATAATGTTAAGTCCAAAGGAGCAAAAAATTCCAGCCAAGAAAATAAACCACAATAATCTCTCCTTTCCTCAGTTCTTTGTCATTCTTTATAATCCTCAGAAGTGATCAAGTGTAGCCTGAAAGTAAAAAGCCGATGTCAAAAACGTGCCGTAAGAGAAAGCAAGCAGAATATCAGTCTCTCATTGCCAGCTTCAGAGAAACTATAGCAGAGTGGAGGGAGGGAGGGAAATAACCACCAGAAGCTCTTTGGTTCAGCCTGCACAATTCATAGCTGCAGGAGGGAGGAGTCAGATATAAGCAGGATAGCAGAAGAGAGTGGAAGAAGGATATCTCAAAGCAGAGCTGCTCTCAGATCATAAGCAAGGAAGACTCTTTGCAAAGTCACACCTTCAGCACTGATTCACAGAGCCAATGCAAACACTGATCCAACAATAAATGTCATCTCTTCCTCCCAGCCCCAGAACTACTATACAGCTGTTGTTGGACTTGGGACACACAGAAGAAGCAACTCAAGTGCAACAACTTTCAGAAAGGCTCTGAGGTCAAAGCCAAAGCTTTTCATGGGGTTTGGGATCCTCAGATTGTACATTGCTGCACCAGAATTTTGGGGAAAAATAATTTTAGTTGATGTCAATATTATCTTTAATCATTACAACAGGTTCTTAAATCAAAACTGGAGGCAAGCTATTTGTTGAGTGAGTAACACCTGGGCTCTTTCACCTTCTAAAACTGCCTCTGTTGCTGCCTCTTGTCATAAAGGGGGAAATGAAGCAAATGAAGATAGCTTGGGGATGATTTGGCACAGAGGAACATCTCCAATTTGGCACTCTTCATTAGTGTTGGAATTGTAGATCCATCATTCCTACCTTGGCTTCACATTCGCAGTACTAACTTTCTGCATTCATCACATCAATAGCCATCTCATTAGCATAGTCTCTGGATCCCATTTCTTGGTTACACGCTGCTTCGCTCAGAAGCTTGGGGTAGCTATGCACGAAATACTTGATTAATAATACAACATATTGAATTTCATCTTATTCCGCTTCAGTCACATTTTGTCAGGGAGTTCTTTCAATTTTTATCAGTGTGGCTCAGTCCTAACCCTGTTTTTCTCTGGAATTCAAATCAGTTCTGTGTTGGAAAGAAAAATGGAAATGATTGAGGAAAAGTGTCTGAAGAGTTCTTTTTATCTTTTCCACAGTACTCAAAATCTTAAACTTTTTTTTCATTATATGCTAAGCAGATTCTGAAAGAATTGAATTGGTCTTCAAGGTTTTTTGGACTCTTGAAGATGTGTATTCTAAATCCTATGGTCCAATCTGATACTACTATAGTATAGTAACTATAGCATGCCTGGAAAGATTCAGGAAATAAATTACTACTCAAAGATCAAAATACTGTTTTCAGAAAAATCAGTTATATATTTAGATTTCTATTCAATCTGAAAGGAGTGGTGGATTTTATGACAGGGTCTTCCAAGGATTGTATTGAGCTGTTTATTTCCTGAATCAGTAGTACCAATACAAAGTGATCTGGGATACTTTATGGACTGTAGTTCTTGCCTGAAGATCTTTCTACTCACCAGTTCATGAGAGACATACTAAATGAAATATTAAAATTCAAATCAGTTCCTCAGTCTGAACAATTCATTTCACACCCTGTAGAATCCAATAGCCAGGCTTTGCTCTTAGGTAGGCAGAAGCAGTTGCTTCAGTTTGAAGATGTTATTAATGAGAATCCATTATTAATTTTCTTAATTTATTCCTGCAGTGAAAAGGAGAGAGATCCATATTCCAATTGGATAATATTGTGAAAAGCAATTCTCAGTTTTAGACAAAATGTAGACAATGTACGATTTTATAGCTAGTACAAAGAATATGTGTGGTAAAAATGTGAGAATGAGAAAACTCTGTGTATAGCTTGCTTGGAAATATGCACAAGTATCAAGTAGAAAAGTATGTCTGAGTTCTTCTGTGACCAGTTTTCAGTGGTAGTAGACCAGGAGTATTAAACTTGTGTCATCATGGCAGCATCATGTGATGTATCAGGACTTCCCCCCCCTTTGTTAAACTGGGTGTGGGCGTGGCCAGCACCTGATGAATCTGGCCCGTGGGCCAGGAGTTTCATAGCCCTGTAGTAACATGGCTTTCTGTATTTTGCTCTCCAATAAAGGAAAAGTAACCACAATAAGTAAGGATATAGATATGCAAACAATGTGTAGGTGAAAATTTAGAAACTATTGATATTTATTTATGTATATTCCACCTTTATTATTTATATGTTTTATTACATTATCAGTATGGGTTTTTTATTTTTTCCAAAAATCTAACATAAATCTTTACAAGATTTTGAAAGTGGAATAAACCAGAATTTATTTTCTGTTACCTAAGATTAAGTCTTATTTGGTAGAACTCTCAACTGTATGGGATTGGGCTGTAAAAAATGATCAAGAACAAAACTTGTGTTTGTTTGTTGAAACTTGTGTTGTTTTTTTAAATATTGTTTTAATCATAGAAAATAAAATACAAAACAGGAAAACAAACAAACAAAATGAAACAAAACAGAAACATACCTTCAACCCTAACAACAAGGAAAAAATAGTGTATAAAAAGAGAGAAAAAAAAAGTGATCAATTAAATTTAACACTTAACATGTAGGAGCCACCCTGGCTGGGTGCTGAAAGAAAAAAAAAACCAATACATTCTCCTCCTCACTTTGTTCGGGTATTTTCCCACATCATTATAGTTGTGCTTTTAAAGTTGTAGCAACGTTTCGGCAGAATCTCATCTGCCACCATCAGGTTCGTGTATTGCGTTCGTCTGTGAGTCAGGCTTTCACAGCCATTTCTGTTTTAAATTTGGTGCTAGCCTACTGCTGTGTTAGAATGGTTTTTTCTTCATCCTGATGGGTTGGGAGTCTTTGTCTGTGTTTATTGGTCTTGGAGTTTTCTGTGTTCTGCTTGATTGGTGTTTCTAATATCTTCTGTCTGTTTTGTAGCATTTTTGGTCTTGATTGGCTGGCAACATTATGTTTCCTGTATTGGAGGCTTTTAGTGCGGCTTGGCTTCAGGTAAATGGATGGCTATGATTTATTAGGAAGCTAGGTTTCATCTGGGTGCCTGGTTGGGGTGTGTTTGAGCTGGAGGTATCAGGGGGGCCTGTTTGTGCCCAGGTGTTTGCTTGGCTTGTGGTGTGGAGATTTTTTGATTTGTGAGTGCAGGCTTCCAGATAATTGGCAGTCTGGTGGAGTCATCTCTTCTATTCATGCTTTCAGGTCTTTTTATCAATCTCTATGGCTTCTCTGATAATTCTGTAGCTGGGGTTTTCTGTAGTGGCTAGGGTTTTGGTGCCACTGAAGTCGATGCTATGACCTGTGGCTTTCATGTGTTGGGCTAGTGAGGAAGTGTGTTCCAGCTTTTTTACTGCATTTTTGTGTTCATCCAGGTGGGTACTTATTCTTCTGTTGGTTTGTCGGATGTATATGGCAGGGCATGATGTGCAGGGGACTTCATATATGCCTTGGTTTTCCAGGTCAATTTTATCTTTGGGGTTTCTTAGGATGGCTCCTATTTTTCTGTCTGTTTTGAAGGCAGTCTTGATGTGATGCCTGTGTAGTATCTTACTGATTTTGTCTGTAGTACCTCTTATGTAGGGCAGGACAGCTGTTCCATAGGTCTGTTCATCTTTTAGGTCTCCACTATGTCTCAGTGTGTTTTTGTGGATCAGACCTGTGATTTTGCTTTTGTGGAAGCCATTGGCTGTCAGTACTTTAGTCAGGGGTGCATAGTTCAGTCTTTATGTGTGTCTTGTCTGCCAGGCATTTGGTTCTGGCAATTAGTGTTTTGGCCACAGAGTTTATCTGTGCTGGGTGGTGGTGGGATTGGGCATTGAGGTAGCGCTTGGTGTGTGTTTTCTTCTGGTATATGGTGTGTCCTAGTGTGCCATCTGTTTTTTTGTAGATTAGTTCATCTAGGAATGGTAGTTGTTTGTTTGTTTCCATTTCCATGGTGAATTTGATTTTGGGTGTGTGCTGTTTAGGTGCGTTAGGAAATTGGTTTTCTAACACACCTAAATTGGTTTTCCATGGGGCCAAATAACAAATGTGTCATTGATGTATCTTAACCATAGTTTGGGTTTGTGGGTGGCATTGGCTAGGGCTCTGGATTCGAATTCTTCCATGAACAGGTTTGCAATAACGGGTGACAGTGGTGATCCCATAGGGGCTCCTTCAATTTGCTTGTATCTTTGTCTTTTGTATATGAAATATGTGTTGGTTAAGCAGTGTTCTGCTAGTTCCATGAGGTGTTTGGGTGGTTGGTATTTATTTTTGATGATTTCTAGGGTTTCTTTTATTGGGACTTGAGTGACTAGTGAAACCACATCGAAACTTACAAGCAGATCTTTTTGTTCCACGTGTAGATCTTTGATCGTTTCCAAGAGGTGGTATGAGTTTTGTACACGGGAAGCCATTTCCTCTATTTGATCTTTCATGTCTGCCACTGCCTAAGGCAATATTTTAGCATCTCAGCTTTGGATGGCATCTTACTGAAATTCTCATGTTTCCCAGACTAGTGGTTTTGATATTCATCAGACTCTGCCTGCCTCTTTCCTGCCTGCCTCTTTCCAGCTTATGTACAATCTCTGAGTGTTGGACTTGGGATGGAAATCTCCATACATTGTGAGGAGCTTCTAGCATTTGTTCAATTGCAGGTTCTCTTGTCTCATCCATATATGGTTTGTTTCAGTAGACCATTTATCATCAAATTGTCCTGGTTCACCAACATG